CCCCCCCCCCCCCAGGTGTCCCCCCTGCTGAAGGGCTTCCTGGACCGGATGCTGGTGCGGGAGCCGGCCCAGAGGGCCCCGGCCAGCGAGCTGCTCAAGCACCCCTTCCTGAGCAAGGCGGGCCCGCCGTCCTGCATCGTCCCGCTGATGCGGCAGAACCGGATGAGATGAGCGTCGCCCCGGGAAACGGCGTCCCGGGACACCCCTGCTCAGAGGTCAAAGGTCAGGCGGGGGCGGTGTCTTTAGGCGCTGAACTCGAGGGGAGGATCGATTCTTTTTCCCTTTCCATTTGGGACAGAAGCTGGATTTTGAGATGGATTTCAAGCCTGATTTCAGGACGCTTTGAAGGAACCGGAGCTACTTTTTAATCTCACTTTTTATTTTTTTTTGTGGACAATCTGGAACCTGCTTCACTGCGGAGGCGTTGCTCCCGAACCCAAAAACTTACTACTGAGAGAGGAGCTCCTCCTGGGCTCCAGAAGAGTCACTCAGACTTCATTTTGTAGCCATAACAATCTACTAGCTTCCTGTTTTAAACGAGCAAACATACACTAAGTGAAGAGGTAAACACTGGAGTGGTAGCAGATGAATTCTTTTAATTCCTCCTAATTTTCCTGTGTAAGTGTAATATACATAGAAAGATATATCGGTTTTTAAGGCGTGCCACCTTTGCTCTGTGATTGTTGTTGTTTCCTGGTTTGTTGTTTTTTTTAGATCGAGTTGATTTTTTAAGCACTGTCGATGAAGATAGAAGCTGCGCTGGCAGCTGGAACACTAAAGTGTCTGTTTGTCTTTTGGTTTAGTGGAGAAGCCGTGCACAGGCCTGTAACACTGAGTCCAAACCAGCCGGCTCTCTCTTTACCACTGAGTCTCACTGTAGTATTTTTAGACCCGCAGGTTTTTCAACGCCCACCACTAATTATTTCAGCTGGTAGAGGAAAATCGTCTCACACACTAATGGTTCGTTTTATTTAGGAAACTAGTTTTGAACGGGATAAAACGTGTTTAAGCTTCTCGCTGGGCAGCTGTGTTCATTCTGTGGTGCACATCCGCCTCCTTATTCCTCCTCTGTGGCCAAAACACTGATTTTTAGAGAAGAGTTTGCATTTCTGAGCTCCACTTGTCCCCTGAATGCCTCGTTAGGGGTTCCGACTTTGTGTTTTTTACTCAAAAGCTGAGAAAAAGGACCAAAAGTCGTCCGAAAAGAAGCTTTTAAGAAAAAAAGAGGCTTTTCTGATGATTACAAGTGCTCAAATTCCTGCGAACAAAAGCAAGAGAGGAAGTTTTTACTAGTGAACTGACCTCCATCAGAAGCCATTTTGGCAGATTTGGAGCTCTTTCTGACGTCGGTCTGCTGAATGAGTGGCTTAAAGTTAAAAAACGACGGCAGAGGAGCTGAAACTGTGGCCTCTGAGGGGCGTTTTCTGAAAAACAAACACTAAGAAGTGGAATTCCCTCTGCCTTTGGGGTCGTTATCCTGTCAGAAATGCAGAAAGCCCTGCAGGAAAGCGGCCGGAGCTCGGCTGAACGCCGATCGTGTGCGTGCACGGCGCCGTGCGCGGCGATAAGTGGCTGCAAATGAGCTTTGCTAAAGCAGACGCGGCGAGTGCTCTGGGCCCCGAACAAAAACCACAGCCTCTCAGAGCAGGAAGTCGGTCTAATCCACACTAATTCTTTGTTTTCTGACGCTGCTGAGCAGCTCGGTGGCTGTGACCTGGTTTGATTGTTTCTGGCGTGCGGCTGCCGTGACGACGGCGTCTCCATCCGGCTGCTGCTTCACCGCGACGGGCCCGACTTCCTCCCGGCTCCGCCGGAGGCTTTGGGGCCCAAATGGGGCCCAAACGGGGCCATCTGGCTGTTTCTAAACCACTAGGAGACGAGAGTCCGGCCACCTCGGCTCCCCGGAATCGTGACTCCGCCTCCAGCTGCTGACAGCTGGCCCTGAGGCGCCTCGGGGGCGTCTGCACTTCGCTTTTAAAGCTCTGAGGGGTCGGCTTCTGTGTCTGTTGTGGTCGGAGGCCAACAATGACTCAGACGTTTCTGCCTCTTCTTTTCGGGGATCCCGTGTCCTCCTTCCAGCGGCTCCTATCGGGCCTGGATGGTGAAAAATGGGGAAAGAAGCAGGTTAAATGTCAGTTTTCTGTTTCCAGCTGAACTCTCATGGGTGAAAATCAGCAGGAGAGTGAATTTCTCCACTTGTTGATGTATTAAATCGAGCAAACTGCAGCGTGAAATGCGATTTTTGACCTCAGACCATTGACATTTCCTCCTGGTTTTTCTCCCCGCAGCAGCTCTTAACACTTAGTTTGGTTTTCCAGGTTTAATCAAACTCTACCGAGTCCTTTTCGGCCTCCCCGACCCCTTTGATCCTCTTTTCTTTACCAATGTGAAAGTCCTGTTTGTCCACTGCTGTGACGCGTCATAACTGCGTTTTCTGGAGCAGGTTTGTCTAATTTCACGCCTTAACGGCCACAAACTGACTGGAAACTTCCAGAAGCTCGGGCCTGAGCTTCTGGGGCTGAAAAGGTCCAATCCGGGGGGGGCTGATGAGGAGCTTCCAAAGGTTTCTGTGGATTCGGTGCCTCGCTCAGCAGCCTCAGATCTTTTACCCCCCCCTCCCCCTTTGGGGACGTCATCCATCTTCCAGTGAACATTTTGCAGCGTTTTTCCCAGAAGCTGCAAAATGTTCCAGCTTATTCTGTGGGATGTCTGTGGAGTGGGGGGGGGGGGGTAGTGACTCACCTCCTGTTTCTGTCAATCTGTCGCTTCTCCGTCATTGTTTTTTTGTAAATTTCACTGGTATTGTAAAACATAGACTTCAGTTTTTTGTTTTCTTTTTTAAATGTGCAAATACAGTTTTTTTGGAAAACACTCGTGTCGTGTTTTGTTTC